CACACACACAGACAACACAAACACACAAACAACACACACCAACACACACTCTTGATGTCGCGGCCCTGCGCGCGGCGACAGGGCATAGAAGTTAGGAAACCAGCGAATCTCGCGCGAACGCGACTAGGCCCGCCCGAGCACTCAGGGACCATTTAGGGTCCCGCAGCTGCCTGCAGCCAGAACCATCCTGGTATGGATGGCGGGGGGGAGCAGTGGATAAACGTTCGGTGGCAACTCATGGGAGCCTCCCATACCATTCGACTCTTGCAAATCGACGCTGATCGACGCTAAATCGACGCTAGTCGAAGTTAAATCGACGCTAAGCGACGCTAGCCGACGCTGAATACGGGATATCTCATCGACTCCCAGACGCTAGGCGACGCTAATCGACGCTAAATTCGGAATTAAGAGGGTCTACAAGGCTCCCATGATCTGCTACCGAATGAACGAGACTACGGTGAGGTGGAAGGTGACATCGACGATACAGCGCGATCCTCCGACACCATCTACTCGGAACCCATCTAGGAGGCCCAGAGTGACATAAACCGACCAGACCTGTGAAGCGGGGGAGGGAGTAAGCAGAGTGGAGCGACAGGGAGGCCAAGGAAAGGAACGACCCGGAAGCAGAGGCGGCGACCCAGACCTTCGACGTCGTGACTTGTTCACAACGTCGACCCCCAGAGGTCTGGATCCCTAGAGGCCTCCGCCGATGCGGCGGCGATGCGGCGCGATCATCCGCCCTCATCTATTCGGACCCCATCTAGGACCCCTGGACTGGCGTTTCCTCCCGAGTCATTTTGTGACGGCCCCGTGGCCCAGCAAAAGGGCCCCCGGAGGCCGAATAAATAAAAACCTCCAGTCGTGATTTGCTTTGTCACCACGCGAGGGGGTCCGGAGACGTCGGGCCTCCAAAGGCCGAAGACAGCGGGAAACCTCCCGCCGTGATTCCTGCCTCGCGCCACAAAGGGGACTCCGGAGAGACGTGCCGCGAGGAAGGCCACAGGCCGAGGGAAGCCGCGGCAGCCGGCGAGGCTCGGCGACACGCACACACACACACACTAACACTAACACACACACACACACACTAACACACTAACACACTCTAACACGCTAACACACTAACACACACACACAACAACACACCGCGGTCGTCGTCGTCGTCGTCGTCGTCGTCGTCGTCGTCGTCGCCGTTCGCGTGGCGGGGCGGGGAGGCGTCCTTCACGTGCCTGCAGGCGGGTTCGCCCGTGGGCGCCTCGGGCTCCTTGTCGTCGCTCCCGCGGGCGCTCTCTCCCTCTCTCCCTCTCCCTCTCTCCAGGGGGGGCCCCGGGGGGGGGGGAGAGAGGGCGGAGGAAGAGGGGAGGGGAGGAGGAGGGAGGGGAAGGAGGGGGAGGAGGAGGGAGGGGAAGAGGGGCGGAGGAGGAGAGAGGGGAGGAGGAGGGAGGGGAAGAGGGGGAGAGAGAGAGAGAGAGAGAGGAAGAGCAGAAGGCCGAGGAAGAGGACGAGGAGGCAGGATGAGGATGAGGATGAGGACGAGGAGGACGAGGAGGAGGAGGAGGAGGAGGAGGAGACGGGGGAGGACGGCGAGCAGAGGTGGAGGAGGCGAAGGAGGAGGACGACGTCGACATCGAGGGCCTACGGTGTTTCCAAATCCTCGGGCTTCGAGGACGAGCGGCGCTTCATGGATGGGGCCTCGAGACAGTGACCAAAAGGCGAGGATGCCCTGAAAAGTGCAAGCTAAAATTGGAAGCGCCTGCCTAGCCTCAGGGCTGGACGCTTCGGGGGACATTCCTTCACGGGGAGGGCTGGAGCAGTATCGAATCGGGAAATCCAAGGCCCTCTCGGTGTGTGTGGGGGGGACGCTTTTCCGTCGTCGTCGCCGCCGCCGTTGTCGTCGCTGCCGTCGTCGTCGTCGTCGTCGTCGTCGTCGTCGTCGTCGTCGTCGTCCTCGTCCTCGTCCTCGTCCTCGTCGTCGTCACTCCCCCCCTTCCCCTGGCCCTTCTCCTAAAGCGCGTCACCCAGAGGGAAAGCGAGCAACATCGCAATCGAGACGAAGGGATGCCCCTTCCCTCTGATCCCTTCTCGACGGGGGGGGCGCGGGGGGGGGGGGAGGCCGGGGGCACGGGGGGGGCCCAGGGGTGCGCCACAACTCCCTGGGACTCCAGAGCGAGGCATATTGGGCCATCTCGGTTACCTTTGCTGTTTGCTTTGGCCATCTTGCGAGCTCGGGACGCGGCCACCTCGTCTTTCACGAGGGATCGTGGCCTCGGGAGTGCGGATTCAAATCCCACCAGCCCTCTGGGCGTAGGTGGTTGAGAGAGTTTCCTCTTCCACCCCTCCTTCTTCCCCTTCGGGGAGGGGTTTACCCCTCCCCCTACCCCCTCCCCTGGACCTGGACAAGGGGTTCCGCGAGGTGTCGGAGCGTCCAAAACGGCCTCGGCGAGGAAGCCAAAATCATTGGTTTTACTAAGGTTTTGGCCCCGTTTTGGCCTCTTGGGGGGGGGCGCAAATTGTGACCCTCCCTCTTGTTTGATCGATCTCCTCCAAGATGGCCCCAAGAAGCGCCCAGGAGGCCCCAAAAGGTCCCAAGATGGCCCCAAGATGGCCCCCAGAGGCCCCCAAGAGGCCCCCACGAGGCCCCCCAAAGGATCCCAAGCGGCCCCAAGAGGCCCCTCCGAGGCACCCAAGACGCCGAAGAGCCCCCCACAACCGCCAAGAGACCCCCAAGACGTCCCAAGACGCCCAAGAGATACATACCCCAAGAGGCTCCGAGAAGCATCCAAGAGACCTCTGGCTCTTTTGCTTGCTCTCCTCCTCCTCCTCCTTCCTCCTCCTATCCCTTCTCATCCTCCTCCTCCTCCCTCTCCGCCTCCTCCTATCCTATTCATCCTCCTTCTCCCTACTCCCTCATCCATCCATCCAATTTTCTCCTTCGCCCCCTCTCTCCTTCACACGGTTCAGCCGTCCCCCTCTTTGCTCCCGCACTTCCCTGATCACCTCTCAACTCGCCTGGACATTGTTTCTGGATGGGCCGCAGAGGCAGAGACACAAAAGGGTACCCTGGAACAGGCACGCGTCCTGGCCATGCGCTCTGACTGTGGATCGACAGGGCCGCGCAATCGTGCTGCCAGTCTCACTGCACCGACCTTGCAGACGTACTGCAGCGGCCTGGCCAAAAAGTCCGCACGACATTCGCTTTGAAATCCAGAACGACATTCTCCAAGATAATCTGGGTCCATCCCACTGTCTTCCGAACGAGGTCCGCTCTGACATGAGCAGACGCTTCCTGCAGTGAGGTGAACGTTTTTTCTATTCGGCGCTTCGACATTGGGCGGAAGGGGGGGGGGAGGGGGGGGGGTCTGTTTGGGACCGTGCGCCCATGGGGGAGACTCCACCTGCTCGAAACAGGCGCGCGAAACACAGCCAAAATCTACTCCATGGGTGGGGGGGGGAGGCCCGGGTTTTAGGGCCCGCGCCGACCGGCAAAACCAATGGACAAGAAAACGATCACCAGGTCGCTCGACGGAGCACCGGCGGCTTCCGTGCTGCTCGCCGTGCCGCGCGCGGCCCCGCCACACCGAGGCGGCCCAGGGGCCAGGGCCGGGCGCTCCCCTTGGAAGCAACAGTACGCCTTCCACAGAGAGGCGGAGCAGCCTACAATGAGGTCGGGCCTGTCCTCCTACAGGGGGGTTTTGGAGGGCAAATTCCCCCCCAAAAAATAAACAGAAACCGGTTAAGAATAATCAAAACATTGTCCCCAGGCTATTTTTTACTCTTTTTGAATATTCCTCCTGTAGAGGGACATGCCCGACTTCAGCCTATAAGTGGAGGCCAGGTCCACAACAAAAACTTCCACAAGAAGTCCAACCCTGCGACCCCACGGCGACGTCCTTATTTGTTCAACACGTGGTCCCCGAAATCACCACCCTTTCCCGGGACCGCTTTTTATCCCGAGTCGTTTTCTGACGGTCCTGGGGCTGGGCGAGGGCCCCCAGAGGGCGAAAATGGACACAAACTTCGCGTCGTGATTTTGTTCGACTCGATTACGTCTAGGTCTCCCTTCCCCGATGACTAGCAATAAAACGACCCCATAACCTTTTGAAGGGAGGGAACCTAAGTTAGGAGGGCCGAGAACATCAGGGATAAGGGGGTATTTTTCTCTAGATGTGTCGAACCAAGCCACCCATATCCATGATCCCTGATGCAGAGGCTCGGACCTCAGTAAGGCTACGTCTTCACCGTGTCTTTAGGTTTAGGGTTCTTTTGTTCTCGATAATTTGTGGGTCGATGCTCTCCGCCGGGCCAATCCCCCCCCTCCCCTGCCGTTGCCCTTGACCTGGGCCCCCTCTCCTCGGGCTGACGCCCGGCCTGCAACAAGGACCGCGTACGCACACGCTCTCTCTGCCGTCAGGGGCCAGCACGAGTACGGAACAGAGCGCGCGTCCAGGCATAGTCGAAACGTGCACTGAGGACGGGGACCTCGGTGAGGCTACGTCTTCCACGTGTTATTAGGGTTAGGGGTTCTTTTATCCTCGATGCCCTGAAGATCCGTTGAGCTAGAGGCCTCCTAAATGGGGTCAAAGTAGATGAGGTCGGAGGATCGCGCCGCATCGCCGATACATCGGCGATGCAGTGGCGATGCATCGGCCATGCACCAGCGATGCATCGCCGACGTGGGCGACGCATCGGCGACGTCCGGCGACGTCGGCGTGGGGAACATCGGGCCTCACCGCGAGACGCATCGCCGATGCATCGCCAATGCATCGGCGATGCGGCGCGATCCTCCGACCCCATCTACGTACTCGGACACCAACTGGGAGGCGTGGATCAGCTGCCCTCCTTCGCTCGCAGGGAGGGGGGGGCCTCCGCAGCCGGGAACGGGGGGGCCTCCGCAGCCGGGAACGGGGGGACGCGCGGGGGACTCCTGCAGCTGGCGCTCCGCGCCGCCCGCGCCCGCCGCCGCGGCGCGGGCCCGAGCGGGCGCGATGACCTCCTGGGGACGCGTTTGGAGGGGCCCAGGGACACACAGGTAAATACAGTCGGCCGTATCAGAAGGTTATTTTCATGTGAGGCAGCATAGAGGGCCGTTTCACGATGTTTGAACATGCCTGCCAGTGAAAAGGAATCTTGGCACTCAACTCTACTCGCGATCGCCTCGCTGTCACGCCCCAAAGCGCGGTCCCTGAAACGGGTAAAACAAAGCCCGCCCCCCGACGGATTGAGAGCCCGCCCTCGCACCAGAAGGATGCGCGGTAAGGATGCAAGGGCCTTGGACGCCCATGTCGAAGCTTTTCGAGCGGGGCGCGGCCAACGAAAGTGACCACGGATAGACCGAGGAGGGAAGGATGAAAGGGTGCCCTTGGGAGCGCTCATCCTTTACCATGCGGGTTGACTGTAGACTTAAATACCCGGATCACTCATATGTTCCCACACGTTACGGATCCTCGTCGTCCCCGCCACTCCCCACATGCTCCCATACGCATGTGTATATATATATATATACACGCACTAGAACCACGCGCGCGCTTCGCGCGCGGTTAGGTTCTAGCCGAGGCCGAACCAGAGGCATGCAAATCGTCGGATGGCTCCCAATACCACCCCACAACGACCACGTCATAGGAACACGTGCGCAATACTGGGCATGCGTGTCACACTGCGTGTCAACGCTGATGAAAGAGCGCTCCAATTCTTTGGATTTGTTGGGCCGCTCTTGTCGCACATTCGTTTCCCCTTCGGCTGTTTTCAACCGCCAGGGAGAAGCCCGGGAGGCCCGCAAGGGGGGTGCAAAGGAGGGCCTCCGCCACCTCAGTGCTCCTCCTCCTCCTGCTCCTCCTCCTCGTCCTCCTCTTCCACCTCCTACTCCTCCTCCTCCACCTCCTCTTCCTCCTCCTCATCCTCCTCCTCAGTGTTCCTCTTCCTCCTCCTCATCCTCATTATCCTCCTCATCCTCATCCTCATCATCATCCTCATCATCAGCATCATCATCAGCATCATCAACATCTACATCATAACATTATCACTATCAACAGCATCATCAGCATCATCATCAGCAGCATCATCATCAGCATCATCAGCATCAGCATCAGCATCATTATCATCATCATCATCATCATCATCATCATCATCATCATCATCATCATCATCATCATCATCATCATCATCTGTATCCCTCCCCATCCCCACCCTTTTTCCTTGTACCCTCCTCCTCCTCCTGCTTCTGATCCTCTACCTCATCGCCCCCGTCCATAGCCAATCTCCTCTTACTCCTCCGCCTCCGTCCCAGGTCACCCTTACCCGTCCTCCTCCTCCTACTCCTCCGCCATCCTCAGCATTCTCCGCCTCCTCCTTATCATATCATCATCACCACCGCCATCACAACCATCATCATGTCTATTATCAGCATGAGCATCATCGTCATCATCGTCATCATCGTCATCACCACCACCATCATAACCATCATCATCATCAGCATCAGTATCATCAGTATCATCATCAGTATCATCATCAGTATCATCATCAGTATCATCATCATCATCATCATAATCATCATCATCATCAGCATCATCATCATCATCATCATCATCATCATCATCATCATCATTATCATTATCAGCATCATCATCATCATCAGCATCATCATCATCATCGGATTCTGCGTCAACAACATTACCATCACCATCACCATCACCATCATCCTTCCCTTCGTTACACGCCATCATCGACATCTCCGTCCTATTGCTACATCGCAGCACCGTCCCAAGTGCAAATATCCCTCCCCGTCTCGTTCTTCCTCCTCCTCCTGCGCCTCCTGCGCCGCCTCATCCTACTCCTCCTCCTCCTCATCCTCCTCCTCTTCATCCTCATCCCTCCCTTTGTTATTCGCCATCCTCGCCATCTCCGTCTCATTGCTAATTCGCGGCACCATTCTGAATGCGAATCTCTCTCGCCCTCTTACTCCTTCTCCTTCTCCCTCCTCCTCGTTATGTGAACTCCTTTCCATTTCTGGAGAGAACCCTCCGCATCCACAGCAACCCATCGGAAGCGAAAAGGCGAGATACTCAAAAATTATCCACCCGCGAGCTTCGCGCGCGCTAAATTTCTCTAACAAGCCCCAGGCCGTGACAAGATCACAGATCCTCTGAAGTAGTTCTCCACACACTGTTTGAGCACAAGGTGCAACAAAAAGTCAAACAACTCGGGCCGAACATACATCTATTACCGACAATGCCGCGGCCTATTTTCGGCCCTCTGGGGGCTTCTTCTGGGATTTCCGGCGGTCTGGGGCGCCTGCGCACGCGTTCTCCGCAGCAGCCCCCTTATCCGCACTGCCCCGCGGCGCGCAGTATATGAATTGAGGGCCGCGCCCTGCGCTGCGCGCGACTGCAGAGGGCTGTGCCCTTCACCAGGTCATTCGTTTGCTTATCGAAGACGCCTACGGCGAATCACCGCCGCCCCCTGCCCTTTCGGAAGCGCCGATGCGGCCGACTGCTGTGGCCAGAGGTCTGCCAAGTTATTGGGCCATATGTTCCCCGAATCGGTCTTTACAGCCTTCGGGGAACACGTGGGGGAGGACGGGGAGGAGAGGAGAGATAGGAAGGGGGGGAATGGAGGAGGAGGTCTCTTGAGTGCCTTTTTGGCTACTCTGGGTTTATATTGGGCCACATGTGCGGTCTTGGAAGCATCTTGGGGGCCTCTTTGGATGCCTTGCGGCCTTCCTGTTCTGCCTGACGCCGTCTGGGCTGGGTTGGGGGCCTCTCTGGGCCTCACTTGGGGCCATCTTGGCCGTCTTGGACGCCTCTTTGGGCCGTCTTGAGGCCCTCTTGGGGCCTTCTTGGGGGCCTCTTGGGCCGTCATGGGGCCATCTTGGAGGCCTCTTGGGTGCTGTTGGGGCGATGTTGGGGACCTCTTGGGCAGTTTTGGGCCGTCGGAGAGCTGAAATGAAGAACATGCCAAAATCCTTCAAAAACCAAAGGAAAATCAATGATTTTAACCTATTCGGGCCTTCCTGGAGGGCGTCTTGGAGGGCTCTTGGGCCGTCTTGGAGGCCTTTTGCGGGCCTTTTGGGCCGTCTTAGACCATCTTGAGGCCATCTTGGGCCGTCTTGGGTGCATCTTGGAGCCATCTTACCCGTCTTGGAGGCCATTTTGGCCGTCTTGGAGGCATCTTGGAGGCCATCTTGGGCCATCTTGGCCGTCTTGGAGGCCATCTTGGGCGTCTTGGAGGCCTCTTGGGCCGTCTTGAGGCCCTCTTGGGGCCTTCTTGGGGGCCTCTTGGGCCGTCATGGGGCCATCTTGGAGGCCTCTTGGGTGCTGTTGGGGCGATGTTGGGGACCTCATGGGCCGTCTGGGGCCGTCGGAGAGCTGAAAAGAAGAACATGCCAAAATCCTTCAAAAACCAAGGAAAATCAATGATTTTAACCTATTCGGGCCTTCCTGGAGGGCGTCTTGGAGGGCTCTTGGGCCGTCTTGGAGGCCTTTTGCCGGCCTTTTGGGCCGTCTTAGACCATCTTGAGGCCATCTTGGACCGTCTTGGGTGCATCTTGGAACCATCTTACCCGTCTTGGAGGCCATCTTGGCCGTCTTGGAGGCATCTTGGAGGCCATCTTGGGCCATCTTGGCCGTCTTGGAGGCCATCTTGGGCGTCTTGGAGGCCTCTTGGGCCGTCTTGAGGCCCTCTTGGGGCCTTCTTGGGGGCCTCTTGGGCCGTCATGGGGCCATCTTGGAGGCCTCTTGGGTGCTGTTGGGGCGATGTTGGGGACCTCTTGGGCCGTCTTGGGCCGTCGGAGAGCTGAAAAGAAGAACATGCCAAAATCCTTGAAAAACCTAAGGAAAATCAATGATTTTAACCTATTCGGGCCTTCCTGGAGGGCGTCTTGGAGGGCTCTTGGGCCGTCTTGGAGGCCTTTTGCGGGCCTTTTGGGCCGTCTTAGACCATCTTGAGGCCATCTTGGGCCGTCTTGGGTGCATCTTGGAGCCATCTTACCCGTCTTGGAGGCCATCTTGGCCGTCTTGGAAGCATCTTGGAGGCCATTGGAGGCCATCTTGGGCCAAGTTGGGGCAACAAAGGCATTGACAGATGGATTTTCGGAAACTTGCGGGTGGCCGGCGGGACGGGCCGAAGCCCACTGGGGAGTTCTTTTAGAAAAAGAACCAAAACCAAAACCTGAAACATCCAGCACGCCGTGCACCCCTGTGGCAAGACCACAGGGGGCGGCGGATCTTCTGGCCTTCGGCTCATACCGCCACCGTGCCTGGGTTGTGGGGCGGAAGCCTCTGGGATACCTGTTAGGGGTCTCTTGGCACGCTTGTCGGGCGCCTCTTGGAACCACTTGCGAAGCCTCTTGGGGTCCCGTGGGGGCCTGCTGGCGGTCTGGGTGGTCCAGTTAGGGCGGAAGACTTGAACTGTGAGGAGGTTCCCCTCTGTGGCCCATCTTAGGCCGTCATGGGCGCCTCTTGGACTGTCCTCTTGGACTGTCTTGGGGCTCTCTTGGGCCGTCTTGGGGCTCTCTCGGGAGCCTCTTGGACAGTCTTGTGGCGATTTGGGGGCCTATTTTTCACCAGTTTTACCAACACACGTCTAACATGCATGGCTTCTCTCCTCTCTGTCTTTGTTGGTGGTGAGGGATTGCCACTCTGTGAGCGCCCGCGCCAAGAGCAAGTGATCACAAGCACGGCGCTGCGGGTGACGAAAACTTGTCACTCCTGGTCCGCCCTCCGCCTCCGCCTCCTCCTCATCCTCCTCCTCCGCCTCCTCCGCCTCCGCCTCCGCCTCCGCCTCCGCCTCCACCTCCGCCTCCTCCTCCGCCTCCTCCTCCGCCTCCGCCACCGCCTCCTCCTCCTCCTCCTCCTCCTCCTCCTCTTCCTCCTCCATCTCCTCCACCGAACTTCGCCGCCGAGACAGAGAAGCCCTGGGGGGGGGGCACGCCCCGTCCTGCCCCAGCTCCTCCTCCTCCTCGGCCGCCTCCTCTGCGGTCTGCTCGCCCCCTGGGCTGTCCTCGGCGTGCCTAGGCCGCTCGTAGCTCGCCGCGGCCGAGAGGGCCGTCGTCGTCGTCGTCGTCGTCCATGGCTCGTCGTCGCTCGTCCGTCGTCGTCGTCGTCGTCCATCGTCGTCGTCCCTGGCTCGTCCGTCGTCGTCATCGTCGTCTGTCGTCGTCGTCCTCGTCGTCGATCGGCGACGACGTCGTCGTCGCCGTCGTCGGCGTCGTCGTCGCCGTCGTCGTCGTCGTCATCCGTCGTCGTCGGCGTCGGCATTGTCGTCATCGTCCGTGGTGCGACAATCGTCCGTCGTCGTCGTCGGCGGCGTTCGTCGTCGTAGTCGTCGTCGTTGTGCGTCGACCGTCGCTCGTCCGTCGTCGTCGTCGTCGTGGTCGTGGTCATGGTCGTCGTCGACGTCGTTCGTCGTTCGTCGTCGTTCGTCGTTCGTCCTTCGTCGTTCGTCGTTCGTCGTCCGTCGTCGTCGTCGTCGCCGTCGGTCGTCGGTCGTCGGTCGTCGGCCGTCCGTCGCCCGTCGTCCATCGTCGTCGTCGTCGTCGGCGTCGCCGTCGTTCGGGAACATCGTCGTCGGCGTCGGCGTCGGCATCGGCGTCGGAGACGGAGTCGGCGTCGGAGCCGGCGTCGTCGTCGGCGTCGGCGTCGGCGTCGGAGTAGGAGTCGTCGTCGGCGTCGGCGTCGGCGTCGGCGTCATCGTCGTCCTCCGTCGTCCTCCGTCGTCGTCGTCGTCGTCGTCGTCGTCGTCGTCGTCGTCGTCGCCACCGTCGTCGTCGTCGTCGTCCCTCGTTCGTCGCTCGTCCGTCGTCGTCGTCGTCGTCGTTCGTCGTCGTAGTCGTCGTCGTCGTCGTCGACGACCGTCCTTCGTCGCTCGTCCGTCGTCGTCGTCGTCGTCGTCGTCGTCCGTCGTCGTCCGTCGTCGTCGTCGTCGTCCTGGTCGCAATCGTACGTCGTCGTCCCTCGTCCGTCGTTGTCGCTCGTCCGCTGTTGTCGTCTTCGTCATCCGTTGCCGTCGTCCCGCGACGTCGTCGTCGTCGTCGTTCGGACTCGTCGTCGTCGTCGTCGACCGTCATTCGTCGCTCGTCCGTCGTCGTCGTCGTCGTCGCTCGTCCGTCGTCGTCGTCCGTCGTCGTTGGTGTCGTCGTCGTCGTTCGTCGTTCTTCGTGGGCGTGGTCGTCGTCGTCCGTCGTTTGTCGCTCGTCCGTCGTCGTCGTCGTCGTCGTCGTCGTCGTCGTCGTCCGTCGTTCGCGCTCGTCCGTCGTCGTCGTCGTCGTCGTCGCCGTCGTCGCTCGTCCGTCGTCGTCGTCGTCGTCGTCGACGTTGGCAACGTCGTCGTCGTCGTCGTCGTCCGTCGTCGTCGTCGTCGTCGTCGTCGTCGTCCGTCGTCGTCGTCGTCGTCGTCGTCGTTGTCCGTCGTCGTCATCGCCGTCGTTGTCGTCGCCGTCGTCGTCGTCGTCATCCGTCGTCGTCGTCGTCGTTCGTCGCGCGTCGCCCGTCCGTTGTCGTCGTCGTTGTCCAATGCTCCCCCAGTGCTCGCAGTCATTGTCTGCCAGCAGCGAGTTCGAAAGGGGGGGGGTCGTCGTCGTCGTAGTCGTAATCGTAGTCGTCGTCGTCGTCGCTGTCGTCGTCGTCGTCGTCGCTCGTCGATCGTCCGTCGTCGTCGTCGTCGTCGTCGTCCGTCGTCGTCCTCCAATGCTCGCATTCGTTGTCTGCCAGCAGGGAGCCCGGCTAGAGCATCTTTCAGCTCAGCGTCCCCGAACTTGCCCTGAAAGTACCATTGGGGAGAACTTCGTGGCGAACGAATTGAAATGGTGATCTAGCCGCGAACCTGATAAAATGTTTGCCGCCCAACCTCGCGAACCGTTTACCATGTCGACATGCGAAATCCCAATGAAACGCAAGCAAGGGTATTCAGTGATTAATAGCGTGGTTATGATGTCTCTGCAATTCGAAGGCATCACTTACAAACGCTGCATTCGCCCATCTTCAGCATCTCGGTCTCGCGTTCGCTTTGGCGGATCGCGGGGCAATCGTTTCCAGGTGCTAAATAAAGTGCGCCCGGCAAGGAAATACCCTGCGACCCCCCCATGCCGAAAATAACCCGACGCAGATGTTCGAGCTAGGGCGTCCCATCTGGGATATGATCACGGAGCATTTGGCACGCGCAGTCACGCCGAGCAGGTGCCCAGAACGGCCGGGCATTGCAACGAAAAACGCCAGCGGCTTCGCATAGCTGCGCGTCTGGAACATCGCTATATTTCTGCGCGAAGTCGTCGTGAGGGGCACTTCTTGCACGAGGCGCCATGTCACGTTGGCTCTAAAAGGTGAATTGAAACGTCTAACGCCTGCGCATGCCATCTTAGGCGCGTTCCATGATGATGGCACTTGCGGTCTCTTAGATCGTTTACATATATTTATGCATATACATATATATACACATATACATATATATATAAATATATAAAAATGTATGTGTATATATATATATATAACCATCGCCACGTGCTGCGTCCACGGACCGCATCGAAAGATATATGAAAAGAGAAGGCCGATGAGCTTCAAGTCTTGAAGACGGCGCTACCCTAGCTGACCCGAGCGCAGCACATCAGATACGGCGTGGTACTTTCCAAAACATATGCACTAGGAGATAAAAGGAGGCAGCCGCATGTTTGAAAGAGCCATGAAAGCTAGCCGAGCGGTGCGGGAATGAACCCCTGTTGCAGACATCCAACGTTCAGGCGACTTTTTTTTAGAAGAAATGCAAAAGAGTGCTGCGTGCAGACGAGTTAGAGCTCGTCTGGGGATGCAAACTACAAAAAAGAACCGAAGGCAACTTTAAGTAATAGAAGCTGCGGCGAAGCAACGACCTGTGCACCTTATCAGCTTTGACTACGCTACAGCAGCGAGCCAGAATGGCTATGCCACGCTTGGTTATTTTTTCACAAAAACAATGGCTTTGCCGAATGGCAAGAAACTCTTGGGACGCTCGCGCTTCCCGGAGTGACATATGCGGTTGAAGAAAATAACTTGTTTTCTAAAGCGTTCGAAGGAGGTCCGCGACAGGACGAAGCGGCATGCCATTGTACGCCGAAGCAGAGTGCAACGGGGATGTCGTGTTTAGTGGTCCACGTATACAGCGCACGTTTCCAACGTGCGTTGGTCATCTGGTCTCCAGGGATATGCAGTTATATTTCCCCAGTTCCCATGCAACTTGGTGCGCGGAATAATCCAATTGGACATGGAACGTCCAATGTCGCCCATGCGTTGGGATATCCAGAATTCAGCTCTACTCATTACTTGAACTTGCTTCGATCGGAGACAGTCGTAATTCGAATTGGAAATGCATGTAAGGTTTGCTTTGGGACGTCTAAACATCGGAAGAAAACGACATTGCCCCTGGGCAGGATGGGCCCAAAACTGAACAGAACCTCAGCCATGCCTTGCTCTCGCTCGATGGAACACGCACGCGGTGTTCGCGAGAAACAACCTTAAGGCATCTGTTTCGATATTTACCGCGTCCAAACATCTCGCGCGCAAATATTTCATATAATCCCCGCAACATTGAAGTTGTGCGAAATTGAGGAATTCGAAAGCTACGTCTCTAAGTTATGAAGGAAGTTTGCTCATAACCACACAGCATTAGCATGGGGTCATTTTTCGTCGCGCATGATGCTGCGAGATATTGATGTATAGATGTCGCGCAGCTCGCGCTGCATTCGCAATGGGTCTTGTGACCAAGGGAAGAAGCCTATGCGCTGCGTAGATGTATTGCGGTGCGTTGCTCTCACCGGCGTCCTCGCAAGTGCTTTTGCATCTGCATGATGCAGCAAACGCAAGTCTTGGAGAGGCGCCCCACTGCCAAGTTCCAACAACGCCACGAATTTAGCTGCGCGTTTTACGGGCGTTACGATGAGCGTTGGCTTACGCCGCGTCGCGAGGGCGTTTTTCATTGCCGCAGAGAGACTGCGGGCTAGCACAAAGGCCAGTACGCAATCGTTGGCATTGACGGCGTCACCTTTACTGACCCAGGCGCGCCAGCGGCAGATGCGCACGAAGGTTCCTTGCGACGTAGCGCCACTAGTGCGCGACTACCTGTTCTCCTATAATGGCCACAGCGCCAAGGAATTGCAGCGGCCCCGCAGCGCTGGCAAGCCCACAATTGCGCGCGTGATTTGCAACGCTCGCACCAGAACTTGACTTCACTTCCCCCTCGCAGCCGCAAATGCAGACGCGCCGGCGCGGTCGCGGGCTGAGGACCAATTCCGGGGCTTTCGAACGCCAGCGGTGGCCTCCATGAGGGGGCCGGGCGAATTTGTTTATACACATATCTATATACACATGTATACATGTATACATTGTGTATATGAATGTATACATACACACATAAAAGCCCCCATTGGCGCGTCGCGCCATGCACCTTGTTCCTTGAACTTGGTCATTTAGCGATAACTCCTGGTTGCCTTTTTTTCCGGCATCGGCGTTATCATTATCCGTCTCTCATGTTTCGTCTTCTTGTTGCTCATGTTCGCCCTGCCCTGCAAATGATTGCCCATCCTCCTCAGCTCTTTTTTTGATGGTTCCTCCTTGGAGAGCCTCTTGGGGGCCTCACGAGTGTTTAAAGGCTCCTTGGGACCATCTGGACGCCTCCGGGGCGCCTTCACGGGGCCTCTGGGCATTTTCTTAGGCCACCCTGCTTCCAAGCGCGGTCTCCCTGAACGACCGGATCACGATTTGGAACGCGTCACATTGGAGCCATTTTGGGCCGTCACGGGGTTTTCTTCGGGCCAGTTTGGACCCCTGTTGTGCCGTCTTGGGGCTCTCTTGGGCTGCCTGAAAGCCCCTGCGGATAGTTTTTGGCCGATTCTCGGGCCTCCTGGGCGGTCTCGGACGCCCGAAGACCGAAAAACATGGCATTCCCAACATCTTGCAAAAACCTTGGAGAGTTAATGTTGGTCTGCATTTCGAACGCCTCTTGGGGGTCTTCTTTGGGTCGTTTTCCTTCGGGGGGTCATGCGGC